CTGTAGCTTGTCTCAGCCGCTGGGAAATGAAGTCCAATGCTCTTTCTCCTTGTGAATGCAGAACTGCAGGGGGAGAAAATAGGGTTCACTGAAAAGCCAGACTGGCTTGAACTACAGGTCACACGAGAGAGGGGACCCCAGGGGGAGATAGTCACAGAGGTGCAGCCATGCCTCTTGGCCACCTTTGGAGGCTGTTTTTTCTTCAAGGTGGACCACCTACTAGAACAAGGAAACCCAGCTCTCTGTGACCAGCTTGTAAAGAAGACTGTCCCTTCGTGGTTCTAAATCATGGGACCGAGCTGCCTGGGACTGTGGGAACTGGGAGTTCAGCTCTCAGGGGCAGAGCAGACTGTCACGGTGGAGCCTAGGCAGGTAGTGGGATTGTCATCCAACATTTACTGAGCACCTACTATGTGCTGCACACCGGCATGGGGGCTGTCGACATAAATCTAGGTCTTGTCATGGCATGGGAGGGGCTCAGAGGCTCCAAGAGAGAAAAGAACACTGACCCTTTTGTTTTAGGGCTTTTGCTTCCAGCAGTGCTAGGGAGACAGAGAGGCAGAAGCAAAAACACCAAACATGGATAAGTTGTGTGCCTTTCACTGAGGTGGTGGGGAAGGGGCAAGCCCAGGCTTTGGAGCCTCATGGGCTGAGGCCAGCCCTACCTCTCCCAGTGAGCAGCCCAAGAGCTAAGTCCTTTCACTTTTCTGAGATTCGGTTTCCTTATCTGTAAGTTGGAACTAAAAATATCTTCACTCAGGACTTCTGTGAGGATTAAATAGATAATATGTTGAAAGGCCTTCAATTTTTAAAAATTAAAGATGCATTTTTACCAAAAATCCAAACACAGAATATACTGTGTTTCACCTAACAAGACAGCCTGCCCCTTTTCCATGGCAGTAAGTATTCTGCTCTATTGTAGGAAGGTCTCTGGCAACTAGTTTACAAGCATTTTATTTATTATTTGATAACGTTTTTTGGCATTAAAGTTGGCCAAATCTTTGCACTCACCCAAGGATAAATGGGCTTCCCTGGTGGCTCAGCTGGTAAAGAATCTGCCCGAAATGCAGGAGACCTGGGTTCAATCCTTGGGTTGGGAAGATCCCCTGGAGAAGGGAAAGGCTATCAACTTCAGTATTCTGGCCTGGAGAATCCCATGGACTGTATAGTTAATGGGATTGCAAAGAGTCGGACACAACTGAACAACTTCCACTTTCACTTTCAAGGATAAATTGCTAGAAGTGTATTTGTGAAAAGACACATGCATTTTTTAAGACTTTTGATAAGTATTGTTGAATTCTCCTTCAGAAAGGTAGTCCTGTTCGCCTTGTCAGCTGTGAATGGGAGCTCACCTTCCCATGCCTCTGCTGACAAGTGTAGTCCTAGGAGCAGATACAGCTTTCAGGCTGGAGGTGGAGTCAGCTTTTATCCTGGCTCCAGAACACTGTTGACTGTCCACAAGACCCCAGGTCCTTCTCACAGAGGCTGAACAAGAACTTTCACAGTTCATTATTCAGACCCATCTTCACAACTTCATATTTATCCTGTTAAATTTAATCCTAGTGAATTTAGCTTGTTTTTCTCTGCTTTTTGAGATCATCTTAGACTTTGATCCTTTCAGTCAACCTATGTGTTTTATCTGGACATATGATCAGCATGTACTCTATATTTTCATCCAGTTCAAATATAAAACATGAAAAAAGACCAAGAGTGGAGTTCTGAGGTATATCCTTGCCTCCGGGTTGACAATGATCTATCAATTGACACCTTTCAGTGACTGTAACTCAGGTAGCTATAAATATGCCTAGTTGTTTTATTGTTCGGCCCACATGGCTTTATCAGTAGTGATGTCACAGGAGAACTTGTCAGATGCCAAGATCAAATTAAGCTCAATTTCTCCCACCTTCTCCTTCATTTCCAGCTGGGGAGTCCTGGGGAAAAAAGGAAGCTATTTGTTGTTGGTAAACCCTAGTCAGTTATAAGAAATCACTGCTTCTTTAATAATGCTTTTGTTAATAGTGCCTTCTGGAAACCCACCTAATTTGGATATCAAGATTACCTGAGGTTTTAGACATCTGCCTTGTTTCCCTTTTTGAACATTGGAACTTTTGTCACCTCCATCTCCTGACATCTCTCCATTTCTCCATGGTTCCAACATGGTAGGTTAGGGAACTTCTCTGCAATCCAGAAACTGTTCAAACCAGAGACAGCATTTTTTTGAACAACTAGGCACTTTTTCTTTAAATTTTTAAAAAACTTTTAATTTTATATTGGAGTATAGCCAATTAACAATGTTGTGATGGTTTCAGGTAGACAGCATATATGTGTATTTATTCTTCCCTATACTCCCCTCTGATCCAGGCTGCCCCATAATATTGAACAGAGTTTCCTGTGCTATACAATAGGATGTTGTTGGTTACCTATTTGCAGCATAGCAGTGTATACATGTTGACCTCAAACTCCCTAACTATCCCTTCCCTGGTGGCAACCATAGGTTCTGAGCAACTAGGCACTTCCCTTCAATCTCCATCACATCTCAGGCCTTGATGTCTTCTCACCAGTGTTTGTTCTATGCCACTGAGGCTGGTGGCCAAAAAGACTGAAAACGCAGTGTTGATCCAGAAGCCTGACAGGTGATGGGAGTCAGAGTAGTAAACAGGTTGGGGGAAGGGTGTTCCAAACTCTGTTCCAAACCTAAAGGTCCAGAAGGGACAGGAGATGATACAGTTCGGAGGATGGAAAGAAACTCCACAAAGCCACGGTGAGAAGGCCAAGGAGGGGGGCCAGACAGGAGATGAGTCTGGGGACACAGGCAGGGGCCAGACCTTGTTGGGGCTTGTGGGCTGAGTGAGAAGGCTGGGACTTGCTCTCCATGGCCAAGGGGATCACGAGGGTCAGCAAGGACAAGCAGAGTTGGATTCTAGACATCCAGTGGCCTCTCCCCGCGTGTACCCTGCATAACAGGAAGGGCTTCCTTTTAGCCCGAAAATTGTGTGAACAAGCTTCTGCTCAGCCTCTGGGTAGTCTCTTGCACGCAGAGGCCTGTGGCTCTTCTCTGCTCTGGTCGTGGTCTTTGCTGTCCTCCTTCCACATGAGGTCGTACGGGCACCGGGCTCCCAGCTGTCTGCGGCAGCTCTCCTTCCCGTCCTGCTGCATGTTCTGAACGAAGCTTGGTGGGCTCCGCAGCAACCTTGTCTTTCCACGCCTTGTGCATCTCTTCTCTGGACTCCCATCCCCCTCAGCCGAGACTTTCTCCACCTCCCACCCGGGGCTTACCAGCCGGACAGCAATCTGCACACCATCTCCTAGATTGCTACTACTTCTCTTTTATCACAAGGGTCAAGAATTTGTTGGGTCACTCAGAAAAAGAAAACCTGCAACAGATGTTAGAACAATTAATTCCCTAGTCACTTTGCAGTCATCCCAATTCAGGTATCAGCACTGAAGGAAGGACTTCTCTGTTTTTTTTACCATCTGAAGCAACAGGGGCAGTGAGTTCCATCACAAATTCTCTTGCTTTCCTTGTCCTTTCAGGCTGCCCTGTCCTTCTCCAGGGACTTCTATCCTTAGGACTGAACATTTCACCTAGAACTGCCGCATCTTTTTTTCCTTAATGATATGTTATGACTGATTTTAATTATAAACTGTACATGGATACAGTCTCTTTATTAAAAATTAAAACATTATGGCACTTCTCCTCCCAGTCCCTTTCCCACCTCAAGGTAACTGCTATGATCAGCCTGTTTTTTTTTTCCCCCCAGAACTTTTTGCTATGTGTTCACATCCACAAAAAGAAAATTATGGAAAATACACAATATTTTTTGTGCTTTAAAAAAAAAAAAAACTCAAATTTTTTATGCTGGGCCTTCTATCCTGCAACTTGTTTTGCTCACTCAGCAGAATGGTTTAGAAATTTGTTCACATTAGTCCATGTCGATCTGCGTGTTCCTTCCCTTAACCTCAGTACAGTATTCTACAAGAGACATTAAGGCAGTGCCATATTGTGCATTGATGTGTTTTTCTGATTAAAGAGTGCCAGTGTTCCCACAACTTAGCCAACACCTATGATAAAACTTTGAATCTTAACAATGAGATGGGTGAAAATGGTCTTATTTCATTTGCATTTCCTGATAACTAATGAGGCTGATCACCTTTTCAGGTAATTGTTGGCTATATGCATTTCCTTTTCTGTCAATTATCTATTCCATAGTTTTTTTTTTTTTTCTTTTGGGCTATTTACTTCTTTCTTAATGATTTATAAGAGTTCTTATAAATGTAACCCTTAATTATGTTTATTGCAAGTTTTTTCTATTTCTTTTCTAAACTTCAAGTCTTTAGAGAGTCCTTCAATTGGATTAACACATTGTATCATTCCAGGCCTTTAAGAGGCAGGTGGGTTTGTTTGTGAGGGCTGCCATAATAAAGTATCACAGACTGGCTTAGCAAGGGAAATTTTATTTTTTCACAGTTCTGGAGGTTAGAAGTCTGAGGTCAAGGTGTCAGCAGGGCTGGTTTCTCCTGAGGCACTTTCCTTCACTTGTAGATGATTGTTTTCTTGCTATGTCTTTACATGGTCTTCCTCTGTGTGTCTCTGTGTTTCAATTTTCTCTAGTAAAGATACCCATTCTATTGAATTAGGCATATTTAGTACCAGTCATAATAGATCAATGACCTCATTTTACTCTTAATTATCTCTTTGAAGGCTTTATCCCCAAATACAGATACATTCTGAGGCACTAGGGTTAGACTTCAACACAGAAATTGGGGGGTACACAGTTGAGCCCAAAACAGCAGGTTAGAGAGAGGGAAGAGGCCCAAACGCCAGAGTGCAGGGCCGGGTGCTTGCCTGTCCCTCTGGAATTAGGTCCTAGTTGCTGATGGGGTCAGACCCCAAAGCCGAGAAGATCGTCTCCAACATGGTTTTGAGAAGTGGCCAACTACATCTCTACTCCCCGATTCCCCAGGTGCTCCAGCCCCTGGTTCACTCGGCCACACTCACCATGTGTGAAGAAGAGACCACCGCGCTCGTGTGTGACAATGGCTCTGGCCTGTGCAAAGCTGGCTTCGCAGGAGATGACGCCCCCCGCGCCGTCTTTCCTTCCATTGTGGGCCGCCCTCGTCACCAGGTATGCGCTCACACGGACCCAAGGCTTTGAGTTCCTGGGAAGAAGCACTGCACTGTGGCATCTATGGGGAGCTGTGTGTGTGTGTGTGCGTGCGGTGTGTGTTTTAAGTAAAGTAAGAGGGAGACATGTATAGATGAGCCCTGTTCTCTCAGAAAATGATATTGTTTTAGGACAGAGAAGGGAGACACGCCCACAAGAAATCATCCATCTTCTCTCCCATCATTTCTCCATTCATCAGCATCTGCCTCACCCCATCTCCTTCAGTCTGGTTTCCAGGGGGAAAAAAAGGACATTCTTCTTGTCTTTATCCTTCTTCAGAGACTCTCCAATGCCTGAATCCCTCCAAGTGGAACCCTCAGCCAATTCTGTTCTCCTTCCTTCTCTTTTGCATTGCAGGGTGTGATGGTGGGAATGGGCCAGAAAGACAGCTATGTTGGGGATGAAGCTCAGAGCAAGCGCGGGATCCTTACTCTCAAATACCCCATTGAACACGGCATCATCACTAACTGGGATGACATGGAGAAGGTATTGGTGGACCCCTCCTGTAATGTGCTCATTTTAATATCATCAAGACCTTCTGTCCTGTCAACTCTTCCTGTACGATGTTTCTCACATCTTTCTTTCCTTCCTGTCCATCCCCCTGGGCATTACCCAGCCTAAGCTGCCAACATCTCTCACTGGATGATTCCAATGGCTTCCTGACTGATTTCTCTGTCTCCTGTCTCAATCACCTAATTCATTCTCTGCGCTGCTGCAAAGCTTGTCTTTCTAAAAACAGACCAAATCATGTCACTTGCCTCATGGGACTCTTCAGTAGCTCCTCACTGACCAACAGTAGGTTCCTAACTCTGTGTCTGGCATCTGAGGACCTGGTCTGGCCTAAGTCCCAGTTTTATCCTTTCCTGCAGTTTTCATTCCAGCCCAGTGCTTATCTTTCTTTAAAGTGCACGGTTCCGTCCAAAAAGGTGAATAGCTCCTCCTCTTTATTTTCCCTGTCATGACCTCAGATAGGTACATTGATGCTACACTATTATGATGCTTCTCTAGTGAAAAATTTAAGTAAGAATCGCTACTGGTTTCTAGAAACTTTTTTTCATGTCAGAAAATGGGAGAAGGGGCAGATTTCCCTGGTGGTCCAGTGGTTAGGACTCCATGCTTCCACCACAGGTTATGGGGGTTCCATCCCTGGTCTGGGAACTAAGATCCTGCATGCCATGTGGGGTGGCCAAAACAACAACAAAAAAATCAAACTTTCACTAGATACCTAGGAAATACTAATATCAGGAACAAAACCACCTGTGAATGATATATGAAAATAAAATGTCTAGAAAAGGAAGATACAGGGGTAATTTTTAAATAGTAGTTTGTGTTCAACAAAATCACATGCAAAATGCTAATAGAACCTTTTAATATTCTTTTTTAATTGAAGTATAGTTGGTATACAATATTTCTAATATTCTTTTGATAAATTCCACTGACAGTTGTCTGAGAATTCTTGTTTCTGCAATGACTGTCTTTTGAAATGTAACAGAGGGCTTATTGAGCAGCTGCAGTCTTGCAGCTGGGAATAAAGAAAGCTGATTTGAAATCTGTGCTTCACACACACTTTTCTCTAAACCTTAAATTCAGTCACTCTGAATGAGAGATAAACAGATAACAAATGCAATTGCTTTTTACTCCACTCTGTGGGGTAGTTTAAAGCACAGACACTGGAACCAGAGGCAGGGAGATCTGGGAGCAAAAACTCCCTCTAAACCTTAGCTTCCTTATCTGTGGAAATCAAAATATTTTCTTCACTAGGTTGCTTTGAAGGTTGAATTAGGCAAATAGTATAATCCCAAAGCATGGAGCATACATAATGCTCAATATGTGGCACATATTACTTGTATATGTCTAATAATATCTAATTTTAAAACAATAGACAAAATTTTTATTCACAACAGTAATATGAACTCTTTAAAGAAACTCCTAAAAATGCATTACACGCTTTAAAAGAAAAACTGAGCGCTCGCTTCGGCAGCGCATATACTAAAATTGGAATGATACAGAGAAGATTAGCATGGCCCCTGCGCAAGGATGACATGCAAATTTGTGAAGCGTTCCATATTTTTGGGATCAGGAAGGGGAACACATGTAAATCCATGGCTGACTCATGTCAATGTATGACGAAAACCACTACAATATTGTAAAGTAATTAGCCTCCAACTAATAAAAATAAATGGGGAAAAAAAATAAAAGAAAAGAAAACGTGAATAGGATAAAGCTGTCAAGTTTTTTTAAGTTAATTTATAGGCTTATTAAAAGTAAAGTGAAAGATGCTCAGTCATGTCTGACTCTTTGCAACCCCATGGACTATACAGTTCGTCGAATTCTCCAGGCCAGAATACCAGAGTGGGTAGCCTTTCCCTTCTCCAGGGAATCTTCCCAACCCAGGGATTGAACCCAAGATCCCACATTGCAGGCGGATTCTTTACCAGCTGAGCCACAAACTTATATAGTGTTGTATGTTAATTCTCTCTCAGTAAACCTTGGGGGCAAGGGAGGGTAAGAACCGTGTCTCATTCATCTAGAATTCCCTGGAATTTGAGGAGCAGGAAGACTGTGAATTTGAGGTGAAGTACATCTAGTTTAAACTCTGGCACTTACATTCAATAGCTGAGGACTGACTTTGGCTCCTCTGTCCATGGGATTCTCCAGGCCAGAATGCTGGAGTAGATAGCCTTTCCCTCTCCAGGGGATCTTCCCAACCCAGGGATCGAACTCAGGTCTCCCACATTGCAGGCAGATTCTTTACCAGCTGAGCCACCAGGGAAACCCAAGAACACTGAAGCGGGTAGCCTGTCCCTTCTCCAGGGGATCTTCCTGACCCAGGAATTGAACTGGGGTCTCCTGAATTGCAGGTGGATTCTTTACCAACTGAGCTATCAGGGAAGCCATCATTGCCATTCTAATAAAAGTCTCACAGTTTTTAAAATTGTATATATTTAAGGTATACAACTTGATAATTTGATAATGTACATACATTATGTATCAGTCAGCATATTCAAGCTAATAACATATCTACTACCTCACAGCTGTTTTTTCTCCTTGTAGTGAGAACACTTAGGATTTACCCTCTTAGCAAATTTTACAGACAGTATTGTTAGCTCTAGTCATCATGCTAATATATTATGTTAGATCTCCAGGTTTACTCTTCCCACGTAACTGACACCGCGCGCCTTGACCAAGAGCACCTCCCTTCCCCTCCCCCAGCTCCTGGTTACTCCATTTTTACTCTCTACTTTCTTGAGTTTGACTAAAGTATCACAAGCTTTGATTATGCAAGATAATCATAAAGTATGGAGAAATAAACAAAATTTATGAGACTATTATGAATAAGGAAAACTGACAGAAGACTTGCTATATCTGAATATTAAGATATAAAGTTATACAAATTAAAACAATCTGGTGCCACTAGAGAGGTAAAAAAGAAATACATAGGAAATGTAACTTCCAAGACCAGAGGGGAAAAAAGGATTATTCAGTGAATTATTCTGTGACAACTGATTCATTATTTCAGGGGCAGGGAATCTGTTTATGGCCATTACCTCATACAATTTCATCAAGCATATCAGTTGAATATAAAAGTTAAATAAAAAACATAATGATAAAACTACAGTATAGTAAGTATGAGTATCAAATTTCTGATGAAAGAAGTCATATAAAGAATAACAAATGTGATTTCTTAAAAATCATAATTTCTAGTATGTGAAAAATAAAACCAAATTTAAAAGACAAGCAACAGATTGCAAAGAAATTTCACAACTAGTGTAATAGAGGATTAATATAAACAACTAATGTAAATTGATAATTAAAAACACAAAGTCTCCACCAGACAAATAATCAAGGGGCATGATCAGACAATTGGCCAAATAGAAACGATTAAAAGTTGAAAATCTGAAAATTATTTGAAAAATTATTTAAAGTTTTATTTAAAACTTCAGAGTAAAACAGCTAGGTGTTATTTTTATCTGTCAAATTATTTCATATTTTAAGAGTGAATGCAGATAAGGGTGAAATAGTCAATTTCTTATTCTGAAGTAAAGACAAAATTAGCCTCTTTGTGAGTAATAGAAATCAAAGCATTTTCCAGCAGTCACCAAGATGGAAGCACTCAGGCATGAGGCTGCAGCTGACCTGAGGGCTTCAGTGTGGTGCTGGTGGGAGCTGGGGAAGCATGCAAGAACCTCAAGATGCCAACAGATACACATGGTCAGGTCCAGTCCTTCTTTAGGAGATGCAAAACTCAGAAAACCAAAGGTCATTGAAATCATAGAAAAAAATTTGAATACCTTAGAAAAGAAAAGACTTTTCTATATATGGAAGCTTTGGAACAACAGTTGCTTTCCCTGGAATATTGGGAAACTTCATTTTCAGGCATTGCTTCAAGGTTAAACATGATGCTTTGAAGACATATGCATCACTGACTATACTTCCATATTTGTCCACCATAGTTTCTTACAAGCTTCTTATAACAGATGCTTTGTGTTTAGGTAATATGAGCCAGGAAAACTGTGTTCCGAGAAGTTCACTGATTGGCATGGCGTGTGGTGTTTTATACCTTTGGCTTTTTGTAAAAATGGATGTCTGGCAGTCAAGTGTACTGTTCCACTGCCACCAAAAGGAAGGGTTTTATTTTACTGGCTGCTGCCTTGTCACACAGAAATAGGTGATTTTTCTCTTTTTTCAGACAGTCTTTGGGACATTTCATGGTTTTCAGCATTATGTAATATTTGAAAGTACATTTGAGCAAACTGTACGTGAAGATTAGCCAAAGAATGAATGGATACTGAATCAGCTGAATGAACTTTTTTTTGTGATAAGGACTCAGGCACTGCTGAAAGAGTTGAAAGTAATTCTAGATGGACGTTTTGCTGTTGTTGTGGCAGAATGCTTGCTCTGCGGTGCTCTGCTGGTCTCTCATACAGCAGTAGGCATTAGTCACAGTCGAATGTGCAGCCCCTCTTAGAACTTTTTATTTTTGGAAAACATCCTGAATAGAAAAAAGAAAATGTAATAGGAACAAAGATAGTCTTCACAAGATTATAAAAAAAAATCAAGGCTACTCTGAAGAGCAATGTGATTAAATATATGATGGTGATGAGATATGATCAACTGTTGTATGAGCATTAAAATAATTTTTAATTCAACTTCTTAAAAATAAATGTTTACTATGAAAAAGAAAATTATTTATATTAACTGAAAAGTGATAGGAAACAAAATTGAACACAGAAGTATAATCGTAGTAAGTAATAAATAAACGAAAGCATATGAAGTGAATAAATGATAATAGTAATAAATTTAAAAATACATAAAGATGAAAGATTAGGGAGAGAAAAAAGCCAAAGTGTTAACTGTTTATTAGTAAGTGGTGGAAATATGGGAAATTTTTATTCCTCTTAAAGATATTTTCCTAATTTAAAAGTTGTCAACATCTTTAACTTTTAAAGTACTTTATAACTTAAACTTCAAAGTACTTTATAAAAGCTTTTGAAAATGAAATAAAATGAAGTGCAGATGGTTGAGTCCAACACCCAAAAAGATTCTGATTTACGGGCCTGGGATGCAGCCTGGGAAGCTGCACCTATAGCAATTATCCCCACACAATTGAGGCCACATTTGAGGAAACACTGATGTCACCTTATTAAGCCTAATTGCGGCCTCCTTCTGTGTCCTGCGACACTGCCACAGCCTGCGGCCTCTGTCTGCGCCATTTGCTCTGCCTCAGGGGCCCTTCAGTCTCTGGAGACCTTCCTTTGCCTTCAGGGCTCTCTCAGATCTAGAAAATGAACTTCTCCTGCCTCTTCCTTCACTTGAATATGAATGTATCTTTGCGTCTTGTCTCTTTGACTGCTTTTCTCCACTCTAGAGTTGGAAACTAAGGTTACATTTAGCATCATCCTAGCACAAAACCGGAGGCCCATAAATGTACGGGTACAATGGACACAGAGGACTCTGGCCCCACCTCTGAGGAAATCAAAGCCCTGTGTCCATACCACTCTTCGCCAAATCCCTCTGAAACAAAGGCTCTTGTTTGCTGTCTGGATCACTCAGAGGGAACTGGACACAGTGGGAAGATTTAACTTCCTCTAAAACTACCATGCGATGTTTTCAGAATCTAATATTGTGCCTTGTAACTATTAAATATCAATATGTAGAAGTAAACTACTAGGCTTCCTTGGTGGCTCAGATGGTAAAGAATCTGCCTACAATGCAGGAGACCTCGGCTCAGTCCCTGGTTTGGGAAGATTCCCTGGAGGAGGGCATGGCAACCCACTCCAGTATTCTTGCCTGGAGAATCCCCATGGACAGAGGAGTCTGTCAGGCTACAGTCCAGGGGGTCACAAAGAGTCGGACACAACTGAGCGACTAAGCACAGCACACATAGAGAAGTAAAAAAAAGAACTAGCTTCATCTACAGCAGTGATTCTCAGCCAGGATCATTTTGCCTCCCAGGGGCATCTGGCAACTTCTGGAGACATTTGTGCTCCTTACAACCGGAGAGGTGCTTTTGGCATCTAGTGGGTGGAAGCCAAGGATGCTGCTAAACATCCCGTAATGCACAGGTCAGCCTCCACGATAAAGAATTATTGACCTAAAATGTCAAAGCACTGAGGCTGAGAAACCCTGCTCTGAAGAACAGCCTGGTCAATAATAGACAGTGACAGTTCATGCATATCCGTCAGGCTTCAACAGGAGACAGTATACACTCAGCTGGGGTTCTGAATTAATTTAAGGAAGGACTACTTACAGAGGTGTGAGCAGGTTAGGGAACCAGAAAGAGAGGCAGAGACACCCGAGTACCAGCCACAGTGGAAGCTCTTAGAGCTGGAAGTCTGAAGGGCAAGGGTGGCGAGACGAGGTCAGTGAGAGCTGGAGCCTGAAGAGCGGCCACATGACAGGAGCCGTGCTAGGGAGACCTCAACTTGGCCAGGAGGGCACCCTGCCCTCCTTCCTCCTTAAACTCTGCATCCCCCTGCTGGTATCTTCCACCAGCCAAACACAGCCAGAAGCCAGAGAGCTGCAGTGGTCCCCTGGGGTACAGGCGGGACAAAGGAGCAGAGTAAAGAGGAGCCAAGGTCAGACAGAAATAATCAACACACTGAGAATGTTGGCCCTAGGTCTGAGCCGTGTCTGGGGCCCTGATGAGAAGAGCGATCAGAAACTCCCAGTGTTGACCGGCCTCCTCTCCAGATCCGGTCTACTCTGAGACCATCAAGCCGTCCTCCCCCAGTGCGGGCAGGCCAGTTGGAATTTTCCCGCCCACTGAGAATCTGTCTGCTGCACTCATCTGACTTTTCTCCCAAGCAGATCTGGCACCACTCCTTCTACAATGAGCTGCGGGTAGCCCCCGAGGAACACCCCACCCTGCTCACGGAGGCCCCTCTGAATCCCAAGGCCAACAGGGAGAAGATGACCCAGGTAAGAGGCCAGGGAGACCTGAGTACCAGGACAGGAGCAGACATGGACGCTTGACCAGATTCTTTCTCCCAACCATGCATCAGTGCAAAAGAGTTTTTTGAGAACCTGCTGTGAGTGCAGTCCACGCCAGAGCCCATGGGAGGTGGGAACGGAGTATCCCCCCCTTAATAAAATTACCAACCATTCTGTGGGCCAAGAGAGCAGTGATTTCTGATAGTCTTTCTGTTCGGCACTGTTCTTTCAGATCATGTTTGAAACCTTCAACGTCCCCGCCATGTATGTCGCCATTCAAGCTGTGCTCTCCCTCTATGCTTCTGGCCGCACAACCGGTAAGTAGCCCTGTAATCTGCTCCCTTTTTGACTTGAGGGGAAGAAAGGAAAAACTGGGCTCCTGGAGAGATTCCTGTTCAGAAGAATCAAAGGGACAGCCAAAGTCCAGCGAAAACCAGGGTGAGGGATAACAGAGGGAAGTCCAGGTAGAATACAGGTGCAAGTCCACCCAATATAGCCGAAGAGAACTTTCATGAGCAAATCATGACCGCAAGGGCCATTTCCATCACAATAGTTAGTTTGGGAGCTTGTGCACACTTTCCAACAGTACTGGAATGTTTCTGCTCACAAAGCAGCAATGGCAGAATCTATGATGGTGGGTGTATAAATATGAGGTGGCCTTGGCATAGAAAACTCAGGGAAACAGAGGGAACTTCAAAATGAAGTGATTTTTAATAAGGGCTTGACAGCTTCCAGAAACATCTTTCAAACATTCATTCATGTATTCATTGATTTGTCCATTTATTCACCCATTCAAATATTCTCCAATACTTCATACCGTGTGCCAAACACTGCAGGCTATGGGCACACAGGATCTGTGAAACAAGACAGATCAGCCATTTTGCAGCTAGCACAATCTAGTGGAGGAGAGAAGAGATTAAAGGATAATTTCACCACACATGATAAGGACACTGATGGGGAAGCGCAGGTACACACAGTTTTGTATCCTGCGCTTTGCGCTTGGTTTTGTGCTGTGAACGTCATGTTCACACGCCACGTGGTAGTCATCGTGTGTGATGCTTCCGTGATTGATTGGTTGATTTTACCATTTCTCTAATGCAGAACCTTTAGGTTGTTTCCAATTTTTGCTTATTATAAAATACTCTGTGACCAACATCCTTGTATAAGAGTAAGCTACTGATCTCTGGATATTTATTTTGGATCTGGCTCTTACTGAGACATCTTATTAACTCTAATGGTTTCTCAGCTGGTCCTCTTGGGTCTTTTAAGAATGGGCTACAGTCCATGGGATCTCAAAGAATCAGACACGACTGAATGACTAACATACACACCACTTTATCTGCAAATAATGATGATCCTCTTTCCTTTTGATAATAATACCTCTTATTTCTATTTTTTGTCATATTGCATTGGCTAGAACATCCAGGACAATATTAAATAATAATAACATAGTAACAATATTGTAATGTTTCCCCATCAATTTATATGGCTGTTGGATCAAAAGGGATTTCTTTTTTTTTTTTTCCAAGAGGGATTTCTTATCATGTTGAGAAAACTTATATCCTTTCATGGTTTACTAAAAGTTTCATCAGTAGAGAATGTTCATTTTTTCCAAGCTCGTTTTTATAGTCCTTTTAGTGCTAACATTCTAATTGCATGAGCGTATATGTTAGTTTGATGCCTGGTGCTGCTGCTAAGTAGCTTCAGTCGTGTCCGACTCTGTGCGACCCCATAGACGGCAGCCCATCAGGCTCCCCCATCCCTGGGATTCTCCAGGCAAGAACACTGGAGTGGGTTGCCGTTTCCTTCTCCAAGTTTGATGCCTGAAGGATATGCAAATTAATCACTCTAACTTAAAGAATTTACATCCTAGATGCCAACTGACAAGTATGCATTTTTGTGAAAGTGTTTCAAGGAATATAAGAAGAGGAGATATTTCATTTGTCTTCCAGAAGCCTACAGTTTTATTTGGGAAAATAAACTGATATACACAAAATTGACATACACAAAAAATATGATTGGTGATTCTCACAGTGGGTGAATTTTCCAGCTGCTAAAGAACAGTATGGTTGCTGACGATCATTTGGTGACAAGTCCCAGAAAGAAACAGATGAAAAAATAAAGGGTTTCATAGGTCTTATCTCCTCTGTCCTTAGGCATCGTTCTGGATTCAGGGGACGGTGTCACCCACAATGTTCCTATCTATGAGGGCTATGCGCTGCCTCATGCCATCATGCGCCTTGACCTGGCTGGCCGAGACCTCACGGACTACCTCATGAAGATCCTCACAGAGAGAGGCTATTCCTTTGTGACCACAGGTACCCATCCTCTTTCTGAACTTGACTTGAGCTCAGAACCAAATCTGATCTAGGACCAGAAACGCTCATGAGTAATGAGAAGTCAGTGGCCTGGTGTCCTCAAACTTTCTTAGGATAGATAGGGAGGCCATAAGCTGGGGTTGGGGCCCTGGACCAGACGAAATAGTCAGGGGAGCCTTTTGCAAGAGAGAAGTTTCCCAACCAAGACACCCTGGGGAGGTGTACCAGGCTTAGACCTACTCATTCTAAGAAGTGCTTGTCTTCACCCTCTAACTGTGCTTTCACGGCACACCCTCCCTCCCCAGGGTCCTGCTACCCCTGTCCACATCCACAGGATCAGAGCTAGTTTTTATGGGGCTGAATGGTGGCAAGACTGGTGGTGCAATTCATTACCTAGAAGTGTTTATGGTTTGAGGACAAATGGAATAACTAAGGCCTGAATTTCTAAAGGGAAGTGGCCCCCAGGGCAGGAAGAGTTTATAGGTAGGGGCCTTCCTAGATTCTGTACAATCCCAGCATATGAGCCTCCATCTAGACGGGAAATGTGTCCTTCAAGGCCCTCAGGAAAGCCTGCAGCTTTGTCAAGACAAAGTGATAAGAACTAGATGAAAAGTACATGCAAAGTTTTGTTTGAGAATCAAGCAAATCTTGAGACTGAATCCAAAGGGCAAGGAAGAAGGGAGTTTTCAAGGAGATCAAAACAGAACAACCAAGCTAGCAGAGCTAAGTATCTACTATCTGTCATTTCTACTCTTTCTAGCCGAGCGAGAAATTGTGCGAGATATCAAGGAAAAGCTGTGTTATGTGGCCCTGGACTTCGAGAATGAGATGGCCACGGCAGCCTCCTCTTCCTCCCTGGAGAAGAGCTACGAGCTGCCAGATGGGCAGGTCATCACCATCGGCAATGAGCGCTTCCGCTGCCCGGAGACCCTCTTCCAGCCCTCGTTCATTGGTGAGGCTCTGCCTTAGTTCCGGCCAATCACACACACTGTTTATTGTTTATACTTACCCATATTTTTCCAGAAAAGGCTGAAAATACATGAACAATAAAACTAGATAAAATCTAATTTTAAATAAAAGGGTAAGGAAACCAAAATAAAGGGAAAATGGGATGGGAATATAACATGAAACTAAGAATGAGGTTAAAACACAAAACTCTTCTTGAATTCTCACCATTTAGATCACGGGTTCTGAAATCTATAGGAGTAAACAGAGTGGGTTTGGGGGTCAGACCTGGTTTTAAGTCTTGATTCTGGTCCTTCAAGTGCTATACCTTGGGCATGTTACCTTCTTCAAATCGCAGTTTTTTTAATCTATAAAGTGGAAATCGTGATAGTACCTACTAGATAGGGATTAAATAAGATAATATTTAATGCAAGGATAACTATCATCTTGAGAAGTGTATAAGAGAAAGGCCTGTTAGCAAATGTTAATATACAATGTAGTGGTAAATAGCAAACTGGATAAAGTGCTATAGGCCTAAGAAATCAGGCAAGGCTTCTCATAAAGCTGAATCTTTGAACAGAACCTTGAAGAATGAGCATCACCTTATGGTATCTGGGGATGGAAGGAGTGCAAAGTGGGGAATGGCATGCAAGGCAGATGGAAAGCTTGTGAAAAATCATGGAATATGTGCACGTCATATTATATTTGGAACATCATAGGTGAAGTGTGTGTGTGTGTTTGTGTGTGTGTATGTGTGTGTGTGCATGCATTCACACACAGGAAATTGAAGAGAGCTGCTGGGTCAAACAAAGAGCATGGGTGTTAATCATATCAGCGATTTCAACTCCCCTGGAAGTCTTTAAGCAGCAGAGTAGAGAAGTCAGAATTTCACTTTAGGAAGATTCCTCTGTGTACAGTGTGGAATAATACCACATGGAAAAAGACTGGAGGTGAGGAAACTCAGGTATGTGGGCTTGAGCTGTTTTGGCAGGCAGGGCCTTTTACTGTGGAAGATCTCAGTTGCAGACAAAGGTGGCTAGATGTCAACTAGTAGGCAAACATGATGTGATTGTTATGTCCTTAGATTGGGATATTTTTTGGCTATAACTGACTATAACTTGGAAGAACCTTGAAAACATTATGCTAAGTGAAGTGAGCCAGACGTGAAAGAACAAATATCGTATGGTTTCATTTATATGAAATGTCCAGAACAGGCAAATCTATAGAGATTGAAAATAGATTAGTGGTTTCCTAAGGCTGGGAAAGGGGAGAAGGGGAAAATGGAGAGTGTCTGCCAATGGGTATGGAGTTTATTTGGGGGGTGCGAAACATGTTCCAAAATTAGACTGTGGTGATGGTTGTACAACTCTTTAAACTATACACTTTAAAGGGGTGAATATCATGGTACATGATACAATGGAAGCATCCCTCTAGAAATATTCATCAGGCAGCAGTGTGAACGATCCCTCAGAATAGGGGAAACTCAAGGCAGGGCAGTGACCAGTTAGAGGGTCTGATCTTTCAGTCCATTGGGGAGGTGACTGAGGCAAACCAGGGTAGCTGTCCCGATAGAAGGGTCACCTGAGGAGCTGTAGGTGTGGGGTGGTGGGTCCTGACCAGATACTATGGTCTCTACTAGGCATGGAGTCAGCTGGAATTCATGAAACAACCTACAATTCCATCATGAAATGTGACATTGACATCCGCAAGGATTTATACGCCAACAATGTCCTCTCCGGGGGTACCACCATGTACCCCGGCATTGCCGACAGAATGCAGAAGGAGATCACAGCCCTGGCCCCCAGTACCATGAAGATCAAGGTGGGTGCTACCCTGGCTCCCCTCGTCCTATTCTTTGTCCAAAGACCTATGTACTTGGGTACACAGGTCCAAGTCAGGCTGCCAGGCCTACAGCTTGGTGGTTGCCTTTATCCTGGTCTGAGGCAGATTTCATCTTGTGGGGGAGTGTGTTCCTGGGACCCTGAACGGGAGATACATCTATCCTGGGCTCTAAAGCACAATCTCATGGACACTGTATGAGAAGGAGATAAAATGAGTTTGAAATGGAGAGAATGGGTTGAGAAGGAAATGAGGAGGTTAAAGAGGGAAAGGAAAGGAGGCAACACCACACCATCTTTAAACTTTGAAAAGGACCTGGGGAACCTTTTTAAGGTGAAAGTTCCAGAGAGAGAATGTTGGCTGTCGGACAGGCCACAGGGACACTCCTTGATTCCTGGACAGCCTCTGACCTGTTGTCCCATCTCGGCCACAGCCCTCATACACTGCTTCTCCCCTCATAGGCCTCCTCAGCACAGGAGCCCACCTGTCTTACCACCCCTCCCCAGCCTCTGATCCCCAAGCAATCAGACAGACCCTTTCAGGATTTCTAGGAACTGTTTTGCTAGCAGGGTTAGAAAAAGATAGGCGCCAAATAGAGATAACAAATAGGTTGAAAGTTACAGAGTCTCCTCTGAGCTGAGGAAGTGTGTTCTATATGTTAGTATTCTACGAACCTTTTCCACAAAGGCCTCCCTGCCCAGGGAAGCAGAATGGGCCACCGGAAAACAGGTGAGCACCTACGAGCACTGGAGCAGTCATGTTTATTGAGGCCTGCCGTATGGTGGGCACCGTGCCAGGCCTTGGGCAGTTGTTTTTTACTAAGACCATGTGTCAGGATACCAGACCTAGCCTCACCACCAGATTCCTGGTCAACAGATACAGGGTACCGCCATCACCTACACTGACAAACAGACACCAGTGGTTTGATGCATATCCCAATTTATGAGCCAAGGTCCTGAGTTTAATAACATGGCCAGCTGTTCAGGAGTTTAAGATCTGATTATTAGACATGCTCAATGGGAGAACAGCTTAAATAAGACCAGAGAAAGGGAAAGGGCATGGCAGGCAGGGCGAGGAGCGTGAGTAAAGGTACCCAAGGGTGTGTGCATGTACAAACTCCCCAGCCAAATTGGACAGCAAGATGTGTGGGGGAGATGAGGCAAGCTCCAGAATATGGAAGAAGAGAGTAGGGTGGAAATGGGGCTGAGATGTAGGGCCTCCACCCCAAGACAGCCCAGAGTTTTCTTACAACTAGAGCTGCCCAGCAATAAAATCCATTACCTTCTTAGTGGCTGCACCAGTCCTTGAGGTGTCTGTCAAAGGAGCCCCGGGGTGACTTTTGTCTGCGTGAAAAAGACAACTTCTAAAGACCCTACTTACTCTGTAATTCCATGATCTCTGCAATTTAGGAAATCTGTAGGGAGATCCTTAGGAGACCAGAAAAAAATCTGTTTCACATCTGGCTTGTTTTAGCATTGGATTCTTAGTCCCTTCAGAAACAGGAATTAGTTGAAAAGCTATAGTCCTTTTGGATCCACTTTTGGTGAAGTTCAAAGCTGTCTGACATGGCGAATTTCTGAAGGCCAAGCTCAGGAATCCCAGGGGCATGTATGAATTTGAGAACTTCTCAGATACAAGAGACTATTGAGTAGACTGGCTTATTCTCCAGAAAGGAGGAATCCCAGCCCAAGATGCCCATGCATCCAGGCAAGAACAGAACAGCACTCCCCTTAAAGATGTTTGTATTGGTTAGTTATTGCTGGGTAACAGCAACTGTGAAATGTTAGGTCACATAACAATAAGCATTTCTTGTTCATGCATCTGCAGGTCAGCTGGGAGTCAGTTGTTTTGGGTCAAGTTTGGCTAGGCAGTTCTGCAGGTCTAGCCAACCCAGGTCAGGGGCGTATCTCTCACTGTGGGGCTCAGGCTAAAGGGCCAGTAGCTCTTTAAGGGAAGTTCTTCTCATGAAGATAACAGAGACACATGAGTGTGCCCACTTGCATGACTGAAGCACATTTCGGGCCACTATGTCAAGTCTGCTGATATCCCATTGGCCAAAGCAGACAGGGCCCAGCCCATTCTTCTCATGGAGTGGCAGGGGAATGAAGTGGGAGGGAGGCTGACAATCTGAAGCAATAGTCTGATCTACCACAAGGTTTCTCCTAGTTCCTTTCTGACCACAGAGGCTGTCCTTTCCCAGGGCAGTCTGGCAGTATGACGAGATGATTCCTGGACCACCTTCCCTATACCTTGGCAACTGACCATGATTCACCACATTTGCTCTTTGCAGATTATTGCTCCCCCAGAGCGGAAGTACTCGGTCTGGATCGGAGGCTCCATCCTGGCCTCTCTCTCCACCTTCCAGCAGATGTGGATCAGCAAGCCAGAGTATGATGAAGCAGGGCCCTCCATTGTCCACAGGAAGTGCTTCTAAAGTGAGAACAGGTTCTCTGAAGACCTCCTCGAGACTTCTCTGTTACCAGTCATGAAACATTAAAATTCTGCAAGCCTTACTTCTCTGTGTGGGGCTCTTTATCTCCCTGGGCTGGGTCCAGCACACAGTGTTGAGGGCTTTTCACACCTTATTTCTAGTCCACACAATGACTCTATGAGGTAGGTGCTGTTATTACATATCACAGATGAGGAAATTGAGCTCTGAGAAGTTACAAACTTGCTGAAGATCACACAGAACCAGGGCTAAAAATCCATGTGTATCTGACGCTAAAGCCTAGGGCTGCTTCTACCAACTTGATTCCTTTTTCTTTGAGCTTTAGTAAGGATGAGGACTATATGAGTCTTTGGGACAGGAGGGTTAAGGAACAAGGGCTTTCAGAGGTGTGAGTCCTTTTACTCAAGGGTGATAACGCCAGAGAATGTGAACAAAAAGAGAAACACAGCACTTATAGGCTATAACATATGAGTGGTTGAAACACAATGTTATTTAAACGTAGGTGAAGAACGGTCACAGTGGGCTTAAGGTCTCTATGAGATCCTTTGTCATTGAGGATTAAGGTGTATTTTGCCTCAAAAACTAATGAAGAAAGGAGCAGCACTGCAGGAAGAATATTTCCTTTTCCTGCACTCCTCTTCTCCCTCCCTCTTCTTTTCTCTCTGTCTCTGTCTCAGATTATTTGCTACCCACTCCCTGCCCTTGGTCAAGTCTGTTATTTCACAAGTATTTACTGAATTTTTGGCATCTACAATTCCTGGTTAAGTTCAAATGGGACTTATGTACCCCACAAAGATGATTCCTGCCCATCAAGGTCACAATGCCTAAAGGAGACAGACACATACATATAAAACAATGATTTGAGCAGAAACAGAAGCCTTCACAAAATACAATGGAAGAGTAAGGGGTAATGACAACAGCTCCCATTGACTGAATGCTTACGATATGCCAGGCACTGGGTTAAGAGCTTTACATGGATTTTCTCATTTCATCCTTACCACAGCCCTATGAAGCAGGTGCTAGTATCATTCTCATTTCATAGCTAGTTTACTAGTTAACTAGATTGCCCAGCTAGTTATTGGCAGAACTAAGTCCTTACTTCTGCCAGCGTGCCCTTTGTTCTTGCCACCTGGCCAGGTCCCATCCTTGATGCTCCTGAACAGAACCCACCTGGTCTTTGCAGACACACCTATATGGAGACAGTGGAGTCCAGTTGAAGCATTACGGAACTCAAGGTCAGACATTCCTCCTCCACCATCCCCTCACTCACCCTCTGGGGTTGTGGTAGAGAAGCATATTTTCAAAAACAAAACCCCTAGAGGATTTTTCTTTTCTAAAGGGTTTCCCAGAAGCAGACCCTGGAATGAGGACTCACATGCAAGTGATTTATTAGAGAAGTGCTCTCGCTGGAAACCAGTGAGTAGAGGAGAGAGGCAAGACAGAAGAGGGTGACTTCAGCCCGGTTCCCAGGGAGGCCTGGAATATAAACCTTACTGCAGGAAATGAGCCATGGCCACATATCAGTGATTGGTGAAGGCACTTCCTAGGGGACAGAAAGTCCCAGACTTTCCTCCCATTTGGGAAAAGGGCTCCAGTAGGCTAAGGGCTGTCCTGCAGAGAAGAGCCACAGGCACAGGCTATTGGGACAGAAAGCACAGGGAAGAGGGGTTATGATGCCCAGGCACACAGACCCTTCCCACTGTGGAGGGGAACAGAAGAGTCTCCGCATGGGACAAGAAGGGAAGGCTGACCCATCCTTCCTTCTTTTCCCTGACCTGATCTTACCCCACTTCAATAAGTGCTGTCCTAGACTTCTGCAGGGGAAGTCGAGTTATGTGCTGGTAGAAGGGAGAGCATGGATTGGTTACAGTGGTTTGAGGAGTGTGTAAATCTAACAGGAAGTCAACTAAATAGAAATAACATCCTAGGACCTGAGGGCCAAGCTGAAGGCGGCCATTACTTATTATGTAATACCTATTGGTTGGTAACCGTGTTGCAGGCATTGTATTAAACGCTGCACGTGGATTATCTTAGTCCTCACCCCCAGCTGTCTGAATACAAGAGCCCACACACTTAACCATTCCCTATATGCCTCCTTTTGTGACTAGGTCTGTCAGTGTTCATTCAGGCGAGCAGAGCCACCATGCACATGGAGGGGATAAGGGAATTATTATAGGAATGAGGCTGCCCCAACATGGGACAAGCTGGGGAAGTGGAGGTCTGGAGGGAACTGTGGGGCAATCAGGGAGGAGCTGCTAGACCTCAAGGACTAGCTAGGGTCGGTCCCTGGGCACACCTGTCTGTCTTAGGGTCTGATGACAGAGGTCTCAGAGTCGCTGAGGCTCCCATCCTGCTTTCTGAATCTCACCCCTGGTCCTCTTTTGATCAACTCAAACTCAGAGCCCTGTTAGGAAGGGGGTTTTGGAAGCATATGTCCCAGCTTAACCAGCTTGAGTTAGCACAATCCAGTACATTAGAATATCTCTGATGTAGATGAGAATATAACTGACTAGACATCAAGCTGCAGAAGATGGTCAGGGTCACTTTTCTGTATGTTTATCTCCCCAGTTTTAGTGGCTGCGTAGCACATTGGTAGTACAGATCTGTTTACTTGTCACAGCAGCATTTACAAATATTTGAAAGTGGTAATTCCTCCAGAGCTCTAAGGACTAAGCAGCGTGTCTAGTACATGGTAGATGCTGAGCCAATACTGGATGAAGGAATGGATGTTGAATGACTGCAGTCCTTCTGGGGCAACATCAGCTCTTACTCATAAGCTTCAGCAGATGTATGACAACACCCAGGGGCAGGAAGTGACCTCATTCTTCCAAGCAAATGGCACATAATTCTGTGCACCAACTGCTTTCTGGCCAAAACCTGTTTACTACTTCCAGGAAGAACTGATCACCACCTTTTTTTCTCCCTTGCTTCTGACGATCCCTTTAATCACCCTTTTTCCTTATGCACTCTGGGGTGGGCCTCCAACACACCTCTTTGTTTCTTAGTCCTTATCTTTTGACCATAGCTGGGCCAATCAGTGTCTCTCTTTTGGAAATTTGGAATTAGGATCAAGAAAGGTATTGAATTTTTCTGCATGGTATAACATAATAAACAAGCATAAAGAAACACAGAGGAATAGAAGGATCATCAATAATTGTGGGATAAGTAAGAAGCAAAAGACATTTTATCTTCTTACTTTACAGTATACATCCCCCCAGTTTAAAAGCTTTAGGAAGCAAGGAAGAGAGAAAGGAAATATTCACAATGGATTCTTATCCAGAATATACAAAGAACAATAGCAATAAGTAAAAGAGAGATAGCCAATAGAAAATGGGCACAGGACTTGAATAGGTCTTTCGCAACAGAGGTTACTGAAATGGCTGATAAACATACAAAAAAAATGTTCCATTTCATTAATCATCAGGAAAAGGCAGATTAAAACTGCAAGATACCATTATACAGCAGGATGAATAAAATGAAAAAAAACTGACAATACCAATTGTTGGCAAGAATGTGGAACCATAAGAGTGCTGACTCACTGATGGTGGCACTCTTGATTGGTATGATCAAACACTGTGGAACTGTATACTCTTTCGGAATATCTACTAAAGCTCAGCACATGTATAACCTCTCATACAGCAGTTATACTTGTAGGCATATGCCCAAGACAAATGAGTTCTTAACTTTACCAAAGACATACTCAAGAATATTCATAGCAATGATATCTATTATAGCTTTCATCTAGAAACATTCAAGTGCCCATCAAGAGTAGAATGGATAAATTAAACTCAAGGTGGTATAATAACATAATGATGCACCACACAACAAGAATAAATGAACTACAGCTATGTATATAACATACATAAATCTCGCAGACATTATGTTGAATGAAAGAACAATGTACTACATGATTTCATTAAATAAAGAATGGGCAAAACTAATGTCTGCTGTTAGAAGTCAGCATATTGGTTAAATTTGGGGGTAGTTACTGGCAGGGGAAATGAATTCTGGGGATGCTGGTAATGCTTTATTTCTTGCTCTGAATCTGGGTAACAGGGTGTGCTTAGTTTGTGAACATTTCATAATACTGTATACTTATAATACATGCTCTTTTCTTCACTACATATTCTGCCTCACTGCAAAGTTGTTTTAAATGACTTTTAGGGGAATTCTCTGGTGATCCAGTGGTTAAAACTCTGCACTTTCACTGTTGAGGTATGGGGGGAGGTGGGTTCAATTGTGGTTGGGGAACTAATATCTTAGATGCACAAGGTGTAGCCAAACACCTTATTTTAAAAATAAGTAAATAAATTAGTTAAATTATTTTTAGGAGCTCTAACTTTTAGGAGCAGGTTAATTGCCTATCTATACCTAAACCTGCCAGCAACTTTTGTATTTAACCTTCACAGTCACCCTGAGGGCAAAGAGATAAACAAGGCCACAGAATGGTGAGAGCTTCTCATACTTTTTTGGATGAATATTTTCCCAAGTCGGAGTCTACATAGGTAAAGAAATAGAAGTAATTTTTCTACAGAGAAGTGACTGGCGGAGGGAATGGGGGAAAGAGACAGATTTTAGCTGCTCCAATATCCTTTAGTACTCTACCCAGGTTATCCTAAATAAATTTAGAATCTATTTTTTAATGTGTGTGTGTATGTGTATGTGTAATGTGTGTGCTCAGTTTCGTCCAACTCTTTGCGACCCCATGGACTATAGCCTACCAGGCTTCCCTGTTCATGGGATTTCCCAGGAAAAAATACTGGAGTGTGTTGCCATCTCCTTCTTCAGGGATTGAACCTATATCTAAATATACGAATGTCATTTCAGCCATCCCATATAAACTTCAATATAGGAAAAAGATCTTGTGCCTGCTTTGCAAATAGTTGTCCTGAGACTGACAGGAAGGCAGCAGGGCACAACCATTAAAAGAATGGCACAGTTAATAAGAACAACAGGAGATCACAAAAACAGGTTAGAACCTCCTAGGCCCAAGATGGCAAAAGATTTGCCTTCCAGTAGATGAACCTCATTATATGCTCATTGTAATACATTAACATCTAAATGACACCCACAGGCACCATGACAGTTTTGAGGCTGACCATAAATGGGCAAAAAGTGGGTGGTGCTCCAATTTCTGGAAATTCTTGCCCCTTCTCCAAGATGTTAGAATATTCCACCCACTCCTTAGCCTATGAAATTACCCAGCCCATGAAAACTAACCACCTCCACACCTCTGGTGCTCTTGCCTTCTGAGACAGCCCATACATTGTGGAGCGTATATCTTCCTAAATACACCTGATTTCACTTTACTATGGCTAGCTCTTGAATTCTTCCTGCAAGAAGCCAAAGACTCTCACTTTGCAGCCTTTCCCAGGGATTCAGTCATGTCTCTGCTCTTTTTGACCCCATGGATTGTAGCACACCGGGTCCCCTGGTCCATGGAATTTTCCAGGCAAGAATACTGGAATGGGTTGCCATTTTCTACTCCAGGGGATCTTCCCCACCCAGGGATCGAAACCAGCTTTCTGTTAGTCTCCTGCAATGGTAGGTTGATTCTTTACCACTGCACCACTTGGAAGCCCTCCACCCTCTTCCCCCTTATGGAATTTTTGCTTACTCCTCAAATCAACTGATTGGACTTTATATTTATTCGAAAGGCAAAACAAGAGGTGGAGTGTAACTGACAAACTAACTTGCTAATTTATTCAATAAGATGCCAGCATTGCGGTGGAAGTTATACGGAATGTGAAGTTAACTTGTGTAAATCATCAGACTGCATCATTTTCCTACTTATAACTGTCCAATTTCTTCGCACGTTAGAACAAAAGCCAAAAAAACGAACGCTTGGGGGGAAAAACTCGTTTAAAATTACAATTATTTTTATTTGTCTTTAGTTACGAAATTTATTCTAAAGTGAGACAATTATGCAAAGGTAATGAATTGTTGACTTATGGCAGTTTTTAAATGTTGCTTTTCCAATGAACACAAACAGACGAGCGAATAAAGCGGCAGCTACTCCAAATTTCAGTAAACTCTCCAGTATCCCACATTAGAAGTCTTTCTTGCAACACTTTCCTACAAATATCGCGAGAACAGAGAGGTTTCCCCCTTGGCCCCTCCCTTAGAGCCAACTCAACCCCACCTACTTCCCGCCTGACGTCAAAGGTGCGCCGGAGTGTCTAAACAGCAGCATCGGGGGCGGAAGTGCTCTCGACGGAAGTGATCGCTTCGTGAATCGTGGGTGGGATGACCGCTGGCCGGCTCTATCTAAGGTTGCTGCGCGCATCCTCGAAGTTCATGGCTCAGCGCTTACTCGAGGGTGTGCCCCCTTCCAGGGGTCTACACGCGGGGCGTGGTCCCCGAAGGCTCTCCATCGAAGGCAACATTGGTAAGGGCCAGAAAGTAGCTGCCAGGCTTCGGCCTCCGCAGAGCAGGTTTCTGAGAGGCTAGGAAAGGGAGCTGGGCCCAGAACCCCTTCTTTTTCGATATGATGTGGCCAGGCTCCTTGTTCTGAGCTGCTAGACCTTTTCCCACTCAAAGTGCGCTGTGTGCCTTTGCCTCTTGGATTTTTCAGACTTCAGGCCTTTGTACTGCCCCACAGGGATACCCGTTTATTGAGGCATAAAAGCCACGCAGTCTGTTAATGGGACACGAGCTAGATTGTTTTGGTACATCAAAATGGAAGCGACAAAGAGAAGGGTGCAATTTCTTTGTTCTCCTAAGATGAGGTTGCTAGATTGAGAGGAGGAAAAAAGGATGTCCATTTAAAATAGCATTTCAGATAACGAATAATATTTTAGTGCGTGTCCCATGCAGTATTTGGAACATATCCCCCAATCTAAAATTCAAATTTAACTGAATGTCCTTATTTTATCTGGCAACCCTACCCTAAGTTCATAAACTCCAGTCATTCAGATATCACTTTCACTGTTTTTGCCATGTCTCTGCTGGTCCAACTATAGTTTTTTAACATTTTTCTTAGAACAGCTCACTTTTAAAAACGTGTGTTAAATTAAAAATAACTGTTATAAGAGTGAATAGAAGTCCAGTACCTTAAATAAAAATATTTCAAAATAAAATGAAAGCACAATATTCAGTTAGTCACTGTTAGTTACTAATGTTGCTAAAGTCTGACTTGAGGCTTTTACCTGTAGGGTGCTGAGCCCTAAAAAGGGGTTAGGAAGTTTTAAGTATTGAAGACATTTAGCAGCAAACTGACAATTTCTCAGTTTGTTCAACAAATAGTCCTTTGAGCAACTTTCATATTTCAGCACTGCTGTCGGCCCTGAGGATACAGCAGTGAACAGAACAAATAAAAATCTCGGCTCTCACGGGACTCTAGGAGAGAGAAATATACAATAAACAACATAAATAAATAGCATGTTAGATATTAAAAAGTGTGAGGGAGGGAATACAGGATTGAGAAATTGAAGGAAGTTGCAATTTTAAGTTGAGTTGTCAAGGCAGGCCTCACTAAGAAGGTGATAATTTGGGCAAAAGCCTGAAGAAGGTGAGGGAGTGAACCATGTGGATAATGTGGAGAAGAATCTTCCAGGCAGAGGAAAGATCAAGTGCAAAGGCCCTGAGGTGGGAAGTGTGTTCAGGGAACAAGAGGAAAGCTGCTGTGGCTGGAGTGAAGTGAGGCAAGGGGCAGGTGAGGGAAATGAGGTCAGAGGTAAGGGGTGGCTTGATTGTATAGGCCTTGTAGTCCATTATGGAATTTTACTCTGACTGAGAGGAGAAACTGTTGGAAGATTTGAGGAGTCAAGTGACTTGATTTGACTAAGATTATAAAAAGATCACTCTGGCTGATATGTTGAAAATAGAAGGTGTCAGGAAGTTGCTGCAGTGATGAGTTATGGTGTGTAGGACCAGGATGTTAACAGTGGAGGTGGTGAGAAGTGATTCGATTCTAATTTCATTTAGGGTAGGGCACACAGGATTTGCTAACAGGAAATTGTGGAGTATAACATAAAAGGGGTCAGTGATGACTCGAATCATTCTGGCCTGAGCAACTTGAAAGAGTTCCAATTTTCTTAGATAGAGAAAAGTGGGAATAACAGCCTGGGGACAGAAAGGTGATTTCAAGTTTTTGGTTTTAGGCATGTTAGGTTTTTATATGCTTATTAGATATCTAGGTAAGGCTGTTTTATAGTTAGTTTGATATATGAGTCTAGAGTTGAGAGTTTCCCTGGATTGTAGTTATACATGTAGATGGTATTTTTTTTTTCCTTTTTTTTTTTTTAATTTTTAAATTTATTTATTTATTTTTTTTTTTTCACAACCATAGTGTATCTTTTTTTTTTTTTTTTTTTTTTACATGTATTCCCCATCCCGGTCCCCCCTCCCACCTCCCTCTCCACCCAATCCCTCTGGGTCTTCCCAGTGCACCAGGCCCGAGCACTTGTCTCATGCACCCAACCTGGGCTGGTGAACTGTTTCACCCTAGATAATATACGTGTTTCAATGCTGTTCTCTTGAAACATCCCACCCTCGCCTTCTCCCAGAGTCCACAAGTCTGTTCTATACATAGGAGTCTCTTTTTCTGTTTTGCACATAGGGTTATCGTTACCATCTTTCTAAATTCCATATATATGTGTTAGTATACTGTAATGGTCTTTATCTTTCTGGCTTACTTCGCTCTGTATAATGGGCTCCAGTTTCATCCATCTCATTAGAACTGATTCAAATGAATTCTTTTTAATGGCTGAGTAATATTCCATGGTGTATATGTACCATAGCTTCCTCATCCATTCATCTGCTGATGGGCATCTAGGTTGCTTCCATGTCCTGGCTATTATAAACAGTGCTGCGATGAACATTGGGGTACACGTGTCTCTTTCAGATCTGGTTTCCTCGGTGTGTATGCCCAGAAGTGGGATTGCTGGGTCATATGGCAGTTCTATTTCCAGCTTTTTAAGAAATCTCCACACTGTTTTCCATAATGGCTGTACTAATTTGCATTCCCACCAACAGTGTAAGAGGGTTCCCTTTTCTCCACACCCTCTCCAGCATTTATTGCTTGTAGACTTTTGGATAGCAGCCATCCTGACTGGTGTGTAATGGTACCTCATTGTGGTTTTGATTTGCATTTCTCTGATAATGAGTGATGTTGAGCATCTTTTCAATGTAGATGGTATTTAAAGCCAGGAGCCTATGTATGTTGATAGAGAGGACCATGTCCTGGGCATGCAAATGTTAAGAGAGATTGAGACGATGGGAAGGAACCAGCAAAAGGGACAAAGAAGGAATGACCACTAAGATGAGAGGAGAGCCGAAACATGGTATACTGGAAACTAAGTGAAGAAGGTGTTTGGGAAAGAAATGATCAACTGTGTAATGCTGTTTGAGTAATGGAACTCTTTGGTGAACTTGAACAGTTTATAGGAGTGGGGTCATGAAAGTCTAACTGTAGAGGTTCAAGGAGAATGGGAAGTGAGGAATTGGAAACAGTGGGTTAAGACCACTGTTTGCGGTTTTCCTTGAAAGGGGAGGTGTGGAATAATAGCTGAAATGGGACGAGGGTTTGAGAGAGTTAGGATTTTTTTTTTCCTTTTCTTTTCGTAAGAGGAATTAGATCATATTTATAAGCTGGTAGAAGGGCAGAAAATTGGTGAAACAGGAGAGAGGATAGACTTGCTAGAGTGATTTTAGTAAGCAGGAAGGAATGGAATTTCTTTCCCAAGTTAAGAAAGAGATTGGCTTTAGCTAGGAGCAGTTTATCCCTAATAAACAGGGAGAATGGCAATATAAATGATTACTGACTTGAGTAGGTGCGGTGGGAACTTGGGGAACATCTTCTGGTTGTGTCAGTTTCTCAGTAGAATAGGGAGAAAGATCAGCTGAGTGTGAGGAGAGAGGAAAGACATGAAATAGTCTGGCGAGTGAGCAGGAGAAATGTAGAACTGCTGGGCAGCATTAAGGACCCATTTGGACTCAGTGGTCTTGAATTTTAAGTGAGACCAGTCACCACAGATGTATGTTTTTCTCCAGCTAAATCAGAAACATTGAAGGGAATGAGAGGGGCTACCTGCCTCATGGTGGGGTTTTTTTTCTTTAATGGTGTTTTTTTAAAAAAGATTTTCTGTCCTATACTTTGGGAAACATGCCGCTAAAGGAAACTTTGTCCTCGGAGCCCAGAGAGGTACAGAGTACTTCACAAAATGAATGGTCTGGACGGATGATCAAGTGAAATTTGAATTGCCTATCCTAGTTTTCCTGCCTTTTGCTTCTCTTCTTATCCTTTCCAGATTTCTGTGCCTCCTTCTTGCTTTCTCCTGCAGCCAAAGCTCAATGAGTGCCTACTGTGGAGGTAGACTCAGATGTGGTCCAGGCCTTCTCCTTTAAGGAACTTACAGCGAAGTGGGAGGAGCAGACTTCTAAACATAATTTCTATACCAAATGATGAGTGCTATGTTCGGACATGGAAACTTGGAATCTCTGGGGTAGGAATTCCTCCCCCAGAGGAAAGAGTGTTCCAGGCACAGGAAGTAATATTTGCCAACACAGAGCCTCAGGAAACATGCAGTTTTAATATCAGGCTTGTGTCTGGAGTTTGAAGGGCCTGTGAGAGGATAGCCGAACAAGAATTTGGAAGGGTAGGATTTGCCAGATGTTGAACAGCTAGGAATTTCTCATGTAGGCTGTGGGAGGCTACTGAAGACTTAAAGCTAGTGTGTGCCATGGCCAGATTAATTTTTAAAAGGAAATGGACTAGAGTGGATGAATAAAAATAAAGCTTCATAAAGTCGGCATTTGTATGTCTTATTTGCTGCAGTACCCATCATGCCTTGCATCCAGTTTGTTGAATGAATGTTGGGGTAGACAGACCCGGTGTTGTGGCCGTTGTAGTTGTTGGAGGGAGGGAAGCCGCAGGCCTGAGCGGAGAGAATGGTGGACGTCATCAGACATCATGATGGTTTGAGAAAGATTTTGGAAGTGGAATTGACAGGACCTCTCACTTGGCAGTGAGAGATGAAGAGCCTTCATTTAGACACTGAACACTGAGGATGGGAGTGAAGGAAGAAGTAGTCTGGGGACGTAAGAGTGATATTTGGAGGAGGTGCCTCTGACACAGGATAGATGTTCTGAGGTAGATTAGAGCAAGTGCCTGAAGTGAATAGACAGATTGGAGCTATAATCCCAGACTTGAAAGTTGTTGACTTGTCAGGGTAGTTGTGGAAGTCTTGGAAGTGAATGCAGTTGCCCAAAGGAAGTGTGACTAATGCGAAGTGGACTGGGGGATCTTAATCTGGCTCTTTCTAGTTTTATCTCCCATTATATTATTCTCTGTCACCCCCACACGGTGATGACTCTCCCCAGACAGAATTGGGCATTGCCTCCTCTGTGCTCACATAACATTTCGTACCCACAACTTCTGCAGCACTT